AAAAACATTACCATGATACAGTAGTTGTGACTTAAAGTTGTAAAAATGTAATATATAATGATTTATTTTATCATTTGAATATATATATATAATATGATAAATAGATGATAATGCACACCATGATTTGATTGATTTTACAATTTTATACCTCACAAACATTATTCAAGTCCAATGTGTAAAATAATTTTTATTAATCAAAAAATATATAAGTATATTATATATAGATAAATATAAATATATAAAGTCAAGGGACTCACTGGATAAGGACTATTCAGAGAGTAACAATAATAACAATCATTAAAAAATAATTCATAGTTATTGTGATCTTAATATGTTATAACATAATATAATGTATAATTTTTATATCTGGATAACTTTTCCATAGAAAAAATTATTTATAAATACTAAAACACATAAATCAATAATCAAACTATACAAGAAGAAAATTAATAACCAATATTAATTTTTACTTAATTGGAAAAAATAAAACTCGCGCAAACTTCACTAAAATAAATAAATTAATGACAGTTATATATTTTGCCATAATAAATTGTGTTCAGAAAATTGAAAGGCACTTATTGTATATTAAATTCGTAAATGTAGGTATCTATAGATACCTATCAGAAAGGGAGGGGGATATAACAAATATTTATTTATATAAAAACAAAATTTAAATGGTATGGTTAACAAAATTTGAAAAATAATATCAAATAATCTAACAATTATTTGTTTCCATATGGTAGTACACTGAATAATTAACAAGACTAAATTAATTTGTAAGACATAACTAGAATGTAAAACATGGGTAATTTGAAACCATAGAGTAAAATCGTAGACGTGGACAAACAATAATTATTGTTTTTTACATTTTAAAAATTTACATCCCATCCTGAATTATCATCTGGTGGTGGACTGTCTGCGTCAGGCGGATAATTGTCAAAATTGCTTGTGTCTATAGCACTGCGCACCTTTGGCAAGATAGGAGGAGTAAGGGTTCGATTACGTAGTCCTTCCCAATTGAAACCATCAAACCACCTTGAACACAATAAACATTTGTTTAAAATTTCCCTATCATAATGTATATAAAGATAATATGTAATCTTACTTATGTTTTTGTACTTCAGTAAGCCGTTCAGCTGGATTATCTCTGAAATAAAACATTACCAAATCAATTTACATTTATTTTGAATTTCAAACCTTATATGTGTCATACATATTTGGTTGATTGGGCTATATAGCTTTAATAGTCTCTAGTCTCTATAGTTTTCAAAATGATTATACTCTGTGCCACGAGAAAACGCAACTGGACAACTACCATAAATTGTTTATTCTCTCAGATTTCCTCCACAAACTCCTTTCAAAATTCATTGTATGCAGTTGAAACGCGTTAGTTGGCTCATTGTATATCTTTGAAGCATATCAGCATGCTACATTCATATTCTGGTGGCCCCTTCATAATGCAATGTGCTTAGAGATGACAGAGCTCTAGTATTTGTATGTTCGAGCAAGTTGAATTTTTTTGCAGCACTGAGTATTACACATGAATATAGATTCCAGAAAAGTAAAATTTAGTTAAAGTTACTAATTATTGGTTTACTAATCAGTGTTTAAATTGTCAAATAAATTCCAAAACGGCATAACTTAAATAAAACAATATTTTCTTGTGAGGAAATAAATTAAAAGTATCCCATTCAACCAAAGAAATGTACACAATAAATTATTTTTTGCATTAATAAATAATTCAATAATGACACTCAGCGGATACCTGCATAATTTCTTAATTAAGACTCTAGCATTCCTTGTGATATTTCTTGGAAATTCTATTGCATCTATGCCTTTAAGTATTATGTTATAAGTTTTCATCGGATCGGCTCCAGTGAATGGCGGTGTACCTAAGACAATAAATAACTAATTTGAATAAATTGAAAAGGTCACTTAAAGTATGCAATTATCAAATTCCAAACTTTATGACACATAATTAAATGTGATAAAGGACAATTGTTGACATGATACATTTTTTTATATACAATGTATACATGTATTAATATAATTCTATTAAATATTTTCAAGATAAATATTTTCTCAACTAATTTTTCAACAAGAGGACATACTATTCAAATGTGTTGTTTCTGTGTCTTTACACTTATAAAATAGCAAACCTAGATAACAAATTTTATGACGAATTACATAAATTTGAAATTATTTGAGAAGAAAAACTAAATATAAAATGAAAATCTGTAAGTACATTAAAATTCCATTTATATTCTTCTCTACAAATTCGATAAAATGTAAATTTGCTATGATTTACCAATAAATAAATTATAGCAAAAATATGGCATATACATACTCATTATAATACATTACTAAGGGTGAGTAAGATAGAGATAACTCAAGCTTTTATGACTTCCTCTTAATGGATAAAAACAATCAACATTTTTATTATTAAAATAAAATATAAATGGAAATACATACCGGTAAGTAGTTCAAACATAAGTACTCCTAATGACCAGTAATCAGCACTTATATCATGACCTCTGTTGAGAATCACTTCGGGGGCAACATATTCTGGTGTTCCACAAAATGTCCAGGTTTTTCTTCCGTTCTAATAAATTTAAATAATTTTGAATATTGACTATAATATTGTATAAAACAGAAATTTGTACTAACCTGTAGTTTTTTAGCAAAACCGAAATCGACCAATTTCACATAACCAGTGATATCCAAAAGTAGATTTTCAGGTTTCAGATCTCTGTAGATTATGTTACGAGAATGTAAGTAGTCAAATGCTTCAACGACACATCCAGTGTAGAAACGTGTGGTAGAATCATCAAAATGGCCTTTGTCTCTATAATTAGTTATAGTATATAAAGTAAATAAAGTGATAATAATATGTTAAGCAAATATAAAATATTTACAGTCCTCTAACAGTAAGTATATTACACAAATTGAAATATTATTTTAATGAACAAATATTATTTATATAATTGTATAGAAATATAACTAGACGTTAGTCAGTAAATGTAATTTTTTTAAATTTTTTTTTTATTTTTTTTTAAATATCCAGTTGATAACAAAAATATCAACTATAACAATCTGAATTTTCAGACACCAAAAAATCCAGGTATACCAAACAATGTTTAATGTTTATACAATCCCACTATAAAAAAAAAAAATAATACTATTTCTTTTCCGGCAATATTTATTATTTACCTCAGTATAGTCCACAATTCTCCCCCAAGACAAGACTCCATGAGCATATACAAGTATTTTTGATCTTTGAACGTCTTGAACAACTTAACAATGAATTCACAGTTAGCTTCTCCCATGATCTCTTTTTCTGACATGATGTGCTGTTGTTGTCTAGTCTCGACAATCTAAATATAATAATATACAGATATTATAAAATATACTGAAATTCACCAATTGTTGAAATAAAAAACTATGAATATAATTGGACTGCTCACTTGACTCTTTTTCATTTGTTTTAGGGCAAACGATCTGGATGTGTCGTTGTTTACTTGGACGAGTTCCACGCGACCGAAACCACCCACGCCCAAAGTGGCCAAAACTTGCAGGTCGGAAAGCTTCAGGTTCTGGAACTCCTTGTTTGTAGAGCTATTAACATTTCACAATTAGATCATAAGGAAAAAGAAATGACAAAATTAAATTTACATGGTAGCATTATCTACAAATATATTATATATAGACATATAAATATATAATATGTACGGATGAAAAATTAAATTACATAAATACATATTATTAAAACATTTAATATAACGAAGAAATATGTGTCATGCAACATGCATAATAATATTCTATTGTGTTTTGTAAGTTATATTCGTACTCAATGTACTTTCACGACAAAAAGTGAAGAAAATACCAACTACACGTAATCATATTTTACTATTGAGCTTACCAAGAGCCTAGGACAAGTGCATGTAAGTGAAAATGACGAACATTAGGTAAACGCATGTATTAAATATCTAAAAATGATTGGTACAGTGTATTTGGAAGACATTATCCTAACCTCGTAACCACCGTTTATAATAATAATAATTACATAATTAATAACATAATGTTTGGGTATATGATACAATAATGTATGGATGTCTTTTTACAATATGACGATTATCATATCGATATCCATATAATAGTATATTATATTCATATATTGTTCGTAGTCAGAAAAAAACAATAACCTAGATACGATATTGAGGTGGTGGAGCGATAGTCGAAAAATATAACAATAATAATAATATTATGATAACAGTTATTATTACCTCATTCGACCCAAGACATCGTCGTCTTTGTATCTGGTGCGTATCTCGTCTAGTCCGGCAATCAGTTGGTTGAATGTCTCCCGGTCTATGACCAAACATGACACTCCGTCGGGGTCGCACGCGATGATGTTCGCGGTACGCAAGTCATC